TATGACGTCAGGCTGAAGCGCCGGAAATTGAGCCCTGTGGCAGGGGCAGCTGCTGCGTGAGGTGAGAGGGGGGGAGGGGGGTCTGGCTGCCAGCGTCTCCGCTCCGCCCCGCCCCGCTCCGCCCGGGAGAGGCGCGGGGCCGGGGCTTGTTTCTGCCGCTCGGGGCGGCCTGGGGGCAGGGTCCGGCCCCCTCCCGGGTGCCCGTGGCCCGACGGGGCTGCCCGCTCCCCTTGGTCGGCAGCGGGACGCAGCCATAGCCGCCCGTCAGCGACCAGAGAAGCCGGGAATGGGGCGCTCCCTCGTCCTCTTTGCATCTTTCTTTTTTTTAAAAAATAGGCCGTTAACCCTTTCCTCCAAAATAACTTTGGCTCCTTCATCTTCTACTTCCACATTAGCAAGGTGGCAGTTGGAAGAAAATGGACTGAATAGATCAGAGAAGGGATTGGGCTGGTTTCTGGGCTCCTCTGCACTGGTTTTCCTGCCTGGAAAAAGCCCAGATCTTGGTTGGAGGCCGAGCTGGAAGGAGCTGAGGCGCTCACAGTGCAGGACTGTGCTGGCACCTCCAGTTGCCCTCTGTTTCTTCTGCAGGAGAATTGCTCTTGGGCTTTCTCAGCTCCACGACAGTGTGTGTTGGTATCTGGGCAGGAAATGCTCTGTCCAGTTGCAGGCAAAGGGCCAATCTGACCTCATTATTTCAGAGTGCGCAGAGCTAGTCTGGGTGTCTGTGGCGTGGCTGACAAGAGCCCCATGAAGGAGGTGGGCCGTGCAGGAGATTCTGGGCACGGTGGTGGTGGTGATTTGGGGAATCAACGTTGCTGATTGCCAGCCAGGTGCTCATGTCTTGGCAGAAACTTGTTCCAAAGAAGAGCAGGATGATATCATTTTGCATTTTTGTCATTCTTTGATACCTTCTTTGATCTATTCAGTCTATCTTCGAACTTGTTAGTACTGAAGCGGAGGACAATTAGAGGCAAAGTTATTTTGGGGAAAGAGGCTCACAGTCTAATATAAAAAAGATATAGAGAAGCAGAATGTTATTGCTGCTTCATTGAGTGCAAAGCCTGGAGATAATATAAGTCAATGATACCCCTAGCCCTGGACTTTCCCCATGTTTACATAGCTCAGTTTGTACTGGGGTCAGCATTCCAGCTTATACCTCCTCTGAGAATGGAAGGTCTGGAGAACACATGCTAAGGGAGGTGTCCAGAGTTTCTAATTGAGCATAGGAAAATCACCTTCTGGTTTATCTTGATCTGCAGGACCACTTGACCTGCAAGCCTTTGTTTCATCATGCCTGTGTCGACAAGAGTATGGCATAGCCCTCAACCGAAGCATTGACAAGTATGAGGCATGTCAAGGAAAAATGTAACTAACTTTTAACAAACTGTAGTTTGCTCTCCAATGTTGTAGGATAGATCAGTGGCTTTCAACCTGTGGTCTGCGGACCCCTGGGGGCCTGCAGACTAGTCTTAAGGGGTCTGTGAAAGATGATCAAAAGTATGTGAATACCCACACTTTCAAATCAAAGGGATCCGCAACTTCATTCAGAATTTCCAAAAGGGTTTCAACTTTTTTTGTTTTTAGAGCCCTAAAATAATCTAGCCCGCTGGGGTAGATGATTTGATTTGTAAATACTTATGCTCTGTGCCTGACGGGAAAATGCTAGCATGGACAGTGCTTACTGTGGCCTACTGGTGCTAGAAAGGAACACTGATACTGTGGCTGAAATATCCAATTTTGGCTGCTCTGAGTGAAATGCAGTAAGTAGAAATCAGCTAGATTTTTACCTTTTGAAGAAATTCCCTTTAAAAGTTTTGAGTTGGATGTCATAAGCCATCTCTCACTTTTTGAAAGCCATGACTCACTTATGTATGTATGCACTGAAGTAAAACCTTGTTGAGCTTTTGTTGTTGGCATGGTTTTGTATGAGAACTGGTGAACTAGTAATTTTTCTCTTAATTTGGCACTAGACAAGTCTGAGTCATCTATGTGAGAGCTCTACCGAGAGGCCAAAGAAAGAGCTAGGAATAATCTTGCTGTACAACACACCTGATGTGATCTGTGACACTCTTCCAAGGAGCAGCATGGCGTGGTCTAATACTAATAATCTGTAACCGAAGCCTTTACATGTTAAATAAGTGGATTTTATAGAGTGAATGGCCCACTTTATTTTATTGTATTGTACAGCAATGGCGACAGAGTAAGACTGCAGGGGTTTAGAACCCTCTCTGGATTCTCACAGCTTTGGCTGTTCCTTTGAGCTAAATGTGTAACCTAACATCTCAGTGGTGCTAAATTATGAGGGGCTCTCCTTGTCCTCATAGATGTCCCTATTGCCGGTGCACCGGGACAGAAGTGGCAGAGGAAGAGACTATGGATGATATTGTATTCAGAAGTGACACAGTACTCTCTGACATTCACTTACACACCCCAAAAGAGCGACATCTCATGGTGCGGTTGAATGGGGTTGGACAGCCAGGTAAGCTGCAATCTGCAGACAGGTGGTTTCCAAATCTTTAACCTAGTTGAAATTAGTGATGTGAATCTATCAAAATGCACAACTCAGAGGTAAAGTCTCATGGCCATTTAAACCATGCCTGCAGTTAGCAGTATGATTATTTCTTGCTTGATGGGTAGAATGGAGATGAGCCAAGTTTGCTTTGGGTAAAATGGTATGGATCGGGAACATGCAGTCGACATCTGAGAAAATTGACTGGATATAAATAGGCCGACATTGGCTGAAGTCAAATATGCCATTTTTTTTTCAGCCTGAGCAGGGGAAATGAAGTTGAGTGTGGGTGTGAGGCACCCTTTGCACTTACAGATTGGAGGTGAGAAGGCAAGGGTCTCGACAGGTCTTACATAAGTTGGAATTGGGTTTTAGTGAGACAAGAGAGGGCCATGACCAGTTTGTGAAAATCACTCCAGTACTCCACAGTAACAATTTCCACCTGAGCCAGGAGAAGGAAATGCCAACTTGTTCCAATTATAATTTAACATCTTTTCCTTTTCTAAAAGAACTGTAAGACTCACAGTTGACTTGTATGCAGGGTTGATCCATAATTGGAAGAGAATATTATTAACATACTGGCTTGCCCTCCAGAAAGACACCTATTTGGTTGGGCAAAAAGTCTAATGTGCTAACATGAACATGACTGAAGTTTCTGAAACTATGTAAAAGCCAGTGGATGGCACTGTAGGCATGTGAGAGAAAAGGTGGGCTATGAGGTTTTAAAGGTAATGAATGACACAGGTCATCTTGATTGAAGCATAATTAAATAGATGTGAAATAACTTGAAATGCTTAGCCATATTCTAAGAATTGTCACTTGGTCCCGTCTCTGTACTCGGATCTTGATGGGGACAATTTGGGCTGGGAAAGGCCTTAAAAAAAAAAAAATTACTTCAGTCCATTCTGAACACTCATGTTCTGGTGGCGTGCAACCTTCTGGCCCAGAATGATGGTACAGAGTCAGTCTGCAGGCCAGATTCCATGTAGTGTCAGCCTGTGAGTACACACTGGCCCAACCGTGTACGCTTTAATCTGTCCACATGCTGACACGATTTAGCATAGAGGGCTGCATTTGCTGACTTGCAGGTGTCCCTACAGGACCAGGAATTTAGTAGCAACAATTGGGTGTGACAGTGTTGCCATTTCTCCCCTGCTGCCAAATTTCTGGACTCCTGGGGAGCCCTGTGTGCTGAAAATAACCTGTGGGCCAGGGGTTGAACATCCCTGTCACAACGTGATGAGTAGCACAGTATCAGTAATGTAGATGCTGCTTAGAGTATGAAGTTTCTCTGAAATGCTGGAGATTGACAGCCATAAAATGAGTGCTGATATTCAGTCTCTTGACCTCACTGTCATGTAACTGAATGGACAGTTTAACCAACATGGTGGTGATGTTTATTTTGGTCTTTTAGGCCTGAAGCAGGATTGGAGGGGTGGAGGTTGAAAGGGGAAAGGCACTTGTTGACTGTGCCTTCAGCTGACCCTGTTTTTTGGCTTTCTTTCTTTCTCTGTTTCATTAGTGTTTTTATCACAGTTCAAGCTCCTTAGGAAGCAAACTGATGTGGAATTTGAGAAGAAATACAAGAGTGCGTTTACAATTGAAAATGGCAGAGGTGGCAGAAGAGGTGACGGCATTCCACTCATTCTTGGACATAACAAAAATGAAACGCCTTCTAAAGGAATAGACTCTTTGCTAGATGCTGATGGTGATTTGGAAGTTGTCAGAAGACCTCAGTGCACCTCCACCTCAGAAGCAGAGGATTTGTCAAGGGAAAAGGTTTGTCCAATGGTACTGATGAAAGGAGGAGAAGACCTTTATGAAGAGGAAGAGCAAGAATGCAGAAACGACATCATTAAAATAGGTAAGCCGAAGTGCAGGCTGTTACACGGGCAGGAGGTACTGACAACCATGCATGTCAGGCAAAGCATGGACAAGGTTGCTGCAACAGGAAGATTGTTGATGTTCTGGAGCAGTATTTGGGCTGCTCTTGTGCATCAGGAAGAGGTTATTGGTCCCACAAACATCCAGTTTTGTGTCACTGTGCCAGAGAGCCAGTCATTTGAATCTATAAGCACACTTAAGATATTTATTTTTTGACCCCAAGGCTCAGAGCTGCCAGACCCCCACCTAAACCAAATTAGCCCAGTTCTTGTCAGTATACTCCAAGTCATCTGAAGGCTTTAAATGTCTTGTACCTGAGCGTGATGGTGGTCCTCAAACTAGGTGTGCTTCCATCAGTGGCCACTGGAAGACTATTGATCAGTCAGGCACAAACTCTTCCCCAGATTTTGTAGTGGTAGTCACTGGAATTCCAAGGCAACGGGTCATTGGTACTGCACTTTGGCATAATAGCTATGCAGATTCAGTCCCAAAAGCAGGTGGCCTCATTGGGTTTTAGTCACAGATTAAGTCTTCCTGGGGAAAAAATAAGTTGGTGGGGTTCACACTCTAGAGCTTGGCTACCTGCAGTCTAGCCAAGTTCTTATGGATTACTGCAGGCCAGTAGTTGATGTATACCCAGCATTTCACTTAAACCACTCGACAGAGGGATGGACTAGTATAGTGCCATAAGGGCAAGCACAGTGTGAGCACCTTTTGCATCTCTGTCTGTTGTGAAATACCTGCATTCCCTGCATCGTGAAACATCATCAATAGTCACACAAAAGTAAAACTGCTTGCCTGATGATTCTGTGCTTACAGGAAGAGGTGGGTGTCCTTGCTACAAGCTTCAATCATTGTGAGGATTTTCTTTGCTGTTTTTTCATAAGTCTCTCAACATGGGTGATGTAATTATCTTCTTGGGGTATTGAAAGGGACACAGTTCCAGGCAGTGAAACTAGAGCCAACTCTTCTTCAAGTGAAGTGTCATTAGGAATGAGCCAGCAACATAAGTGTCATTAAGGTTGACGTTGAGCCAGCAACAAAAGTGAGGCTTTTCCAGAGCATTTGTTAAAAAGCACTCCTTTTTGTTTTGCTTTCCTTTAACTAGAACACACGATGGCAACTCCTCTGGAAGATGTTGGTAAACAGGTTTGTATCTCATATGAAGTACTGGTGCCTAAGGGGTTTTTGGTCAGGGGTGTAAATTTACTTATCTTCTGCTTTCCGCTCAAGGTATGGCGTGGAGCCTTTCTTCTTGCTGATTACATCTTATTTGACCAGGACGCGTTCAGATGTCGCACACTCCTGGAGCTTGGAGGAGGCACTGGCCTCACCAGCATTATTGCAGCAACAATTGCTGGAAGAGTGTATTGCACAGGTGCATGTTAACATCAGCCTTTTTTTTAGAAAGGGGTCTGAATTAGAGGTGCTTGAAGCATTTCTGCTGCCGTTTCTCCTTTCATTCCTCGTTTCTTGTTCTTTCCTCAGCCAGGCATATCTTCCCCACCGTGTCAATAGTAGATAGCTTGCATAGGGAATTTATCACTAGATGGATACAAAGGTGGGAATGGGAAGGAGAATGCTGCATTAGAAAATGTGTTTGGCAGGATACTCTTTCAAGGTCTTGCATTTGACCTGGATGTGGAATTGAAATGGTGTTGGGCACACTCAGTTTTTTCCACAGAACCTCCATGAAATTAAAGGGTTGTTTCAGAAGCTGGCTGCAATTGCTGCTTCCAGTGGGAATTAGATCTCCCTTTGGTAAGGAAACTTGCAGATGGGTATCTCATCAGATTATCCATTTGGGGGCATCCCTGCATGTTAGTTATATTTCAGTGAGATATTCATCATGTTGCAAAGATAATCCTGTTGGAGTAACATGGGCAATTATAGTAGGCTTTTGACTGCAGGTTGTTTTTCTAAAAGGACAAATAAAACAGAAAGAAAATAAAATGTCTATAGTCTGCCAAAAAGCGATGTAGATACATGGGAACTGCTTATCTGCATGGAAGTGTGCCCTCTCTGAGGGTCCCTCCATGGAAGGAAAAGCCAGTGAAAATAGTTGTTTGCCTAAGATATTAATAGTGTTGGACTGGAGCTCTTTTGTAGCTAGCAGTTACCAGCAATTCTTGGGAAAGCAGTTGGTGGCCCATCTGCAGTCATAACCAGGCCATGCATAAAATAAGTTGTTGATATCCAGTCTTGTGCTGGTGAGCTCCACAGAGGGGCTGAGAACCACCAGATAGAGCTGGTCTCCTTTTTTCCTTGAAAGAAGAGGTCTAGATTGAGCCCAAGCAAGATGTTGTTAAGTGTGTAACACATCTCTCATGTTTCCAGATGTGGGTGAAGATCTTCTTGCCACCTGTGAGCAAAATGTAAGATTAAACAGACATCTTTGGGAGCTGGCAGGTAAGTGATGTTCAACCGTATGATAGCTTTGAGATTTGTTTTTTGCTTTCTACATTGACGTGCATCAGTGTACATAATGGGTCATTTTTCTGTCGTCAGTGTTCACAAATAAGGTCAGAACCACGGTCCTGCTAAAAATCTGCCTCATACAGAAAAGAAGGGTCAGATCATGGGGGGAGTCCTTTGTGGAGAGCGTAGAACCAGTTTTCTTTTGAAGCAGGTAGTAGGGCCTGCTGTGGTTGCTGTAGCAAGCTTATTGGAGCAGAGCAAGTGCAGATAAATTGGTAGCATAAGTGGGCATTGTGAGTAGCTTCAGACTAAAGTCATGAAATAAATAAGGAATGGCAGAAAAAGCATAACTAACTAAAGGGGTATACCATGCAGTGATTTCATAGTGGGATTGAGTGCTGATGAGTCAGAAGAGATCTCATTGGCAGTCAGATGGCAACAACATATCTGCAGTCAGAATCGTTGCCATTGTGAGCCAGATATTTTACTACTTTTCTCTTAGAGTACCAGTAATTTTTTTGTAGGCTTTGTGACCTTGATCTCGGCTAGTCGGCTCCTCAGAGTGAATCTAACTGACTTGGCCTGCTCCCTTCTCCCCCCTTTACTTTTTTGGACAGGAAGTGAAGTTAAAGTAAAAGAGCTGGACTGGCTGAAAGATGGCCTTTGTACTGGTGAGTAGGTGAGGCAGGCTGATTCAGCTTGGTTTCCCATAGGGCTTGGGGGTGGGGACAGAAATGGAGGCTTAACAGTAGCCAAATGTTATTACAGAGGTAGTATATTGCACTCTCAGCAATGACATTCAGCTCTGGTTAAACGATGGAATAGGGCTAACAGTAGTAACTGTTTCCCAGAGGGTGAGGGCAGAGTCTTATCTTGTTTTAATGCAGATGGTGCGTAAGCTCTGCTCATGTGCTCGGGAGACTACACTAAGCCTTAACATTTGTTTACATGCAGGGTCTTGTGTGGTGGCTTATGGGGCTGCAAAGCCTGTTCCTTCCCCCAAATCTTTGGGAAGGGGAATGGGTGGCTAGAGAGCAGGCAGAGCAGTTTGGTAGCAGCCTGGTTGGGCTTTTGTCATTTATAGTTTTTGTGATGCAAACATGTTTTAAGTATGGGTATACAGCACTTCAGTGGCATGTTTCCCTTTTGGGCACAACTTGAAATAAATGTGGTTGATTCCTGAGCAGTGTGGTACTGCCAGGGCCATCATAGCATTGGTAAAAGGATGCCTTGTCATTCTTCCCCTAAATGGTAGATCAGGATTGGTTCTGACTAACCATACATGATAGACAGCCCTACCTTCTTTGGCTGCCATCTTGATGCTTCTCTTAATGTGGTGAGAGTCAACAGTGATGGCTTCTCCCAAATTGTCACTGTTCTTTTGCGAGTCAAGAGATAGAGTAGTTATGTGGAGGGAGTAGCTTGCCCAAGGAAGTGGTGATCCTTTCCAGGCCTTTACTGGCTTAGTCCAGATTGTATCCAGGATGTATGATAGGGTGCTAGCAAAGATCTGAGGAGAGTCTCCAAGATCCAATGTTTGCTCCTGGCCACTGAGAAACCAGGCTTCTGTGGAAATAACACTTCTTGCTTTTTTGATAGATCCTGAGGCCCCCTACAGTTGGTCTGAAGCAGAGATAGCTGACATGTATAACCATGCCTCCGTGATCTTAGCTGCTGATGGTGAGTGACACTAACCAAGCCCCTTGTGACTGGTGCATGGGAGGATTGCAGTTTGATTGTTTCCTTATAATGTGGATCCTGTGAACTTCTAAAAATCCATCAGGGACAACCTTTCACCAGTATAACTTGTTGGAGCCCCATGTACTACTATGAATCCTTTAGGAAAGGTTGGCCCAAACATTAAGAAAGTCATTGTGCAGGTGCAGTCTAGTCATTTATAAGTGAAGTGTTTCTGGATACCGAGCCTGCCATAGGCTCCCTTTTGGTTGGAGCTCTGGTATGCTTTGCCAGCTGTTTTCTCTTAGTATTCTGTTCCCCATCACATCTGCATAGCATGGAAATCTGACCTGATTGCCCAAGGAAAAAATTGAAAGACACAGGCTCTGAAATCAGAAAAGAATTAGCTGGTGCTGTGTTTGAGGCAATGTGCCAACAAGTGGGAGGAAAGCAAACTTTTCCCCAAGTTAGGAAGAGGTAACTTTTGCCATACTTGTAAGCAGGACTTCCCACAAGGAGGATGGGCATCTGTTGTGTTTTTTATTTTAATGGGGCTTGGATGTTGTTTGTGGGTCTCTGGGGAGATGAGGGCCCAGCTAAGACCCTGTTGTTGGTGTAGTGACTTCTTGGGGGTGCCTCCAAGTCTAGGTGGGAAGGAAGGCCCCTCAGTTTGGAGCATCTAACCCCTCAGCAGACCTGTGGAGCATAATGCTAAATGGCTGGGTGAGAGCCCGTGTGGAAGAGCTGCAAGTTGGCAGAGCATAACGAATCATGGTACTTCATCAAAACTTTTGTGACAAAGTAGCTGCGGCTGTCTATGTCTGATGCTTATAGGTGCTGTATAGATATCTCCCATCAAAGGTTCAGTGGGAAGAATTCCAGACAAAAGCCACTCTGCATACATTGGAAGTGTTTAATCAAAACATAAAGGTCCCATCCGTGTGCTTAATGAATGATACATCTTGGTCATGCAGTGTTTTATGATGATGACTTGACAGACGCCTTCTTTGGGACGCTGCGCAGACTCACCGGCTACCTAAACCGTGTGTGTACCATTTACCTGGCAATAGAAAAGAGGTAAGAGAACATTGCAGGGAATATACACTACAAATACCAGCTGCTGTTTTTGATTTCAAATCAGCAGCTTCATTTGGGCTTTGGAATGACCACAGGATTATGCAAGCATTGACCCTTCTAGGGCTACAACATGGCTGCAAAGGCAAACCAACTGATCACTGTCAGCCACCCAGATTTGTAAGGCAACGAGTCCTCCAAAATAGCAGTGGCCACTCAAGGCTTTTGGATTGTCTCTGCAATGTGTCATACTATGCCATCTTTTGGGAAGAGTAGGCAGGAAGGAGATAAGCAAGCACATATGGAGTAAATGGTTTTGGGGAAATTATGTCAAGAGATTCTTTGCTGTATTCATATACAGTCACAGATTTAGTTGTTAGATGACATCGGAAAGAGTATCACTGTTAGGTAACTTTTTAGGGCTTGTCACAAGGTGCACTTTTGTGCTGAGTTACTGAAGGAGCTTTGAGTAGCATTGAGTGTGTTTGCCCAAATCAAGCCAAAGTGTTGATGGTAGTAGGCTGGGTCACATGTTTGATGAATGATAAGTTGGGACCTTGTGGACAGGTATCAATGGTATTTCCTTGGGTACTGACTGGGAACCTGGACACGGAGAAATAGCCCTAAAGGAAGAGTGAATATGATACCACGAGACTTCCCACTGGTCCAGCACTGAGCTGTGGGACATTTTTAGTATGTAGGGAGCAGCCTGTCAGATGGAGGCATGAATTGAATTGTTGAGTGCATGGTCTTTTGCCACAGTTGCAAATACAAGGCAGCTCAGTCAGACGTGTGGTTCAGGCAGGTCTCAGAGACGCGTCTCTCAACAGATTTTTGTCTTGTCAGGCTGAACTTCACCCTCAGAAGCATGGACATTGCATGCGAAGCTTACAATCATTTTCGAGATGCTCTGTCCAACTTGGCCAGCCTTAGAGATGGTGAAATGAAATACACTGTTGAGCCTGTCAGACTCGCTTTCTGCCAGTCCCTTGTTTATGAACGAATTGAGCAGTTGGTAAGTGGCATGTTTCTGCTTAAAAGTAACGTGTCAAGCTTTGCACTTTGAAGTTGTTGTAGTGGCTGTACGTAATGGAAGAACCTGGTTGTCTGCCATCTTGTGTACTTTTGGAAGGGCTCCAGCCTAGTTTTTAAGGAGAGGAAGTAAAAGGAAAACATTTGATTCTTCTGTCCCTGTTACAGTCATAAATTCTTGTCATTACAGCTTATTTCATTTGCCTGCCAAAGACAGTGTCATGGCACAGGTAAGGGAGGGTGGTGAGTGTTCTCATATCACTGTGCTGCTTGATGTAATGGGAAGATCCAGGTAGAGGTTCTCCGATACATTGGTTCATTTCGTATCAGCACTAATAAAAGGAAAATTGGTATTATTGGCAATTGGCTTTTTTTGGCTGATATAGCCAATAATGTCATCGATAAATGCCGTGTGTATGCATGCAGCCAGCCTAGTAGCTTGCAGAGCATCAGCTGGCTGATAAGCGTGTTGGGAGGAAAGGGGCAGGGGGGCAAATCAAGGCCTCTGCATTGAGGGAGGGAGTTGGGTTGGAGCTGGACCTGGGGCAGGGGCAGGCACTGTCCAGCTAGAACAGTGTGCAGGACAGAGCCTCAAGTAGCTCCTCTGGGGGGCATGGGGAAGGAGGGGTGGCTCCTGCTCCTATGCACACCATCCAGGGAGCCATGAGGGGCATGTGGCCCTGGATTTGTGTGCGGGGCAAGGGCAAGCTGCTGCTGTGGGCTGGAGCTGGGTTCTTCCTGGTGGAGGGGCTGGGCCAGGGCTGTGCTGGGACCAGGCGGCAGTGCTGGGAGGGGGAGCTATGGCGAATCTTGGGGTGGCTGTAGCCCACCCTCTAAGCCCTGCTCCCAGCGCTGCTGCTGCCTGCCCAGAGCGCAGCCCTGGCTCAGCTCCCTACACCACCGGGAAGAGCCCAGTACCGCCCTGGGCGCCAGCCTGCAGTGGCAGCCCACCCTCGCCCTGGACGCAGATCTGGGGGGGGCACATACCCCACCATGGCTCCCCTTGGGTGCATGTAGTAGCGGGATCCATTCCCCCACGCCCCCTGAATGAGCTGCACAGCTTCATCCCGCACCCCATCCTGCCCCAGCTGGGCAGTACCAAAACATGCCCTGCTCCCTCCCTCACTGCAGAGCCTCAATCTGCCTCTACCACTTCCCTCCCCCTGCCTCTTCCTTCCAACAGACTTACCAGCCAGACGCTGCTCTCCAAGCTGCTGGGCTGTATGTTGGGAATTGGATCAGTATTGGCCGATATGGCTCGTTAATGATTAGCCATCAGTGCCAGCCCCAAAATCTTTATCAGTGCACCTGTAGATCCAGGTGCTCTTTTGTTGTCATAATGGAGACTGTGATATCTAGAGGGATAGGACTGTGAGCGCCAGGGATTTTTTCTTCAAGGCATGTGCCAGTAAGTACATAACAAAGCCATTTCTTGTTGTCATTTGAAAGAAGGGTGCCATCCAAAGGAGTTTGCCTCTGAACCCCACTTAAGAAAGCATGAAGCTGCCATTGGGGAAGAATTGCTAGCTTCAGTAGTGTCCAGAGAGATTTCTGTTTACCTGCTCCCTGAGATCCATGTTAGGGGTTCTGGGCTTCTGACCATGTTTGGTTTTGGTGCTACCTGGCACTCTATGGGAAATGTCACAGTTCATTTCACTGTAGACTTAGGAATCATGGTAGCTGTGACAGGAGCACCAAAATACTTGACATGGGAATGTGAAGCTCCGTGGGGTGTCTGAAGCCTGTTATTGCGGTAACTAGGATCTGCAGGGTATTTTCAGTACAAAAGCTGCTGCAAGAGTGCCCTACCTGAGCTCAGAACCTCAGTATGTAGCTCATGGTACAGTGAGTTGACCCAGTGAAGAGTGTGTAGCTGCAATGGGAGTATAGTTGTAAGGGCCATTAAGTTTATAAAGCCTAAATTAATTAAAAAATATATATAAAAGAATACAGGAAACCACCAAGAACTATATATAACATTATCCCATAAGCAGAGCACACGGATGAAAGAAAAATAGAATGCAAGTAGAAATTAAGCATTTTGAGTGAGAGCTACCCACTTTATTGCACTGATTACCATATGCATAATTTCCTTCCCAGAGGAGTGGTGGTATACGTGCAGAACTCGGAGACTAAGAGCATTTGTACACATGGTTGCGCCACAGTGCCAGACGCTTTAAGAGTGCCCGATGCTGCAGCATATACATTTCTATAAACAATGAAATGCATGTCAGTGCTGAGAAAATGGTGGCAGCATGCTTTTGAACTAAAACACATTGAAGATGTTTTAGTTCAAAGGCACACCACCGCCATTTTCTCAGCGCTAATGTGCATTTCGCCATTTATACAAATGTATGCAACACAGTGCCGGGCACATCAACTAGCATGCAGAGCAGGCTCAATTAATTGAGTCTGCTTTGATGCAGTGGATTTCTGGCATGTTGAAGTAAGCAAATGTATAACGAATCATGGTGTATAAATGCCCTAAGTGCAGTTCCTGCAGACCAGTCACTGAAAAGGAGCACCTGGGGGAAGTAAAGAGGTATATAGTTGAGACTTTGAGACAGAGTGGGTTATTCCCACCTCCCTGGAATCAGTCCCAGTGGTGCCAAGGGGGATGACAGTTGCAAAATAGGACAGGAGCAAGCTGGAGATGAGGGAAAAATCCCATAGCCATTCTTCAACTGGATGTTCACTGGCATGTCTAATATCCAGTGATGATACTGACATAATAGATATCTCTCAATCCTGGTGGAATTGAGTGATGGGATGCTGTAATACTGAGGCACAAACTATATAGGAATTATAAAATAGATTGTACCAGTGAGAGAGTAGCACTTTCCTTTAAGGACAACATTGAATCAAACAGGGTGAAAACTTATAAGAAGCAGCACTGTAGAATCTCTTTGGGTGAAAATTTTGTGTCTAATCAGGATGAATGTGCTTTTTGGGTTGTGCCATCAACCAACTGATCAGGAGGGTGGCAATGAACAAGAAATGCTAATTAGAGAGGCTGCAAAAGTGGACAACACAATAATGCTGGGTGACTTCGGTTATTTCTGTATAAAACAGGTAAATCTCACTTCAAGGTAGGATGCAGAGACTAAATTTCTAGTCTCTGTCAATAAGTACTTTATGGAACAATTAGTCCCAGAACCCACAAGATGAAGGGCTATCTAGGTTTAGTCCTAAACAGCATATAGGATTTGGTTCAAAGGATAACTATGGTGGAGCTTTCCTATAATGGTGAGCATAGTGGTCACTTGCATCCTTATGATTTCTAAGCATGGTCAGCCTCCTTGTAGGAAGGAAAACAAAAAAAATCTATCATGGAATCACTTAATGTAAAAAACACGAACTCTAAGAAATGACAGTAGTAGTTAGAAGAAAACTGAAAGGGTTAAAAACTTGCAGGCAGCCTGAAGGCTGTTTAAAAATACTATGTTGGAAGCACAGGGTAAATGTGTGCTGCAGGGCAAAAACATGTAAATAGAGAAAAAATAATGCCAACATAGTTAACTGGTAGAGTAAAGGAGTCCATTAAAATATAAAAGATGTCCTTCAGGAAATAAAGTTGTATCCAAATGAGAACAATGTAAAAGAACATTAACTGTGGCAAGCTAAATGCAGTACTATGGTAAGGCAAGCCAAAAATAAAAAGATTCAAGTAGCAACTTGCTAGAGATGTAACTTTTATGTTTTGGTTTTGCACCAGAAGCAGAAAGCCAGCCAGGAATTCAGTGATGCCACTGGACAATGAGGGAGTAAAAGGAGCATTCAAAATGGAATATAGCCATTGCAGAGAAACTAAATGGGTTGGGTTTTTTGCATTAGTTTCCATCAGGAAAGTTTTCACCATAAAAGACATTTGGGGAGATTCCTGTACCAGAATCACTCTTTCTAATGAACTGACTCAAACTGAGGTGCCAGCAAATCAGGAGGTAGTAAAGGAAATTGATAAACCAACAGTGGTAAATTATTAGGACTGGCAATTTGGTGTTTACTCAATCCTGAAAGCTCAAACTCAGAATTACACATCTGTCTACCTTAGTATGTAACCTAAAAGCTGTCTCTGTGCTGGAGGCCTGGAGGGTAGGCACTGTAATGACAATTCACAGAAAGGGCTCTGAGCTTAACTGGTGTTCCCAGAAAATGGGTGGAAACTCTAATAAAAAATAAGATTGCTCATTGCATGGATGAACAGGAATTACTGGGAAAGAGTCTACTTTTGTAAAGGGGAATTACAACTCATTGACGTACTAGAGTTCTTTGAGGGCATCAGCAAGCATGTGGATCATGGTGATCCTGTATCAGTAACTACTTAAAGGAGAAAAACTAAAGGGGATGTATGAGGGGTCAGTTCTTACAAGGATGAGAGGTAAACAGCTTATCTGTTCCCACATCTAAATGCCTAAATGGGAGTTAGGTTACATTGCCCAACCTGTTTTTGTGGCTGCATCCCAATAGAGTGCAAGGTGAAACTCTAAATGAGCCTATGGGGCACAGAGGCCAGAAAGTCTGTGTGTACCTACTGCATCCGCATGAACGCATTAAGTACACACTGCAGACAAGTTACACATGCTTCAGGAGTCAGTATAAATATAGCTCTGGTTCTGTAGTAAACAGGAGAATGTAAAGATGTTCACACTTTGTGTTGACTAAGGTTAGGGTTGGATGTGTTTTCTTCTAATCCCTCATAGCAAGTGACTGCAAGTTTTGAAATGTTGTTTGTTTTTGCTTTGCACAGGAGCTGTGGAAGGTTGTTGCTGAACCACAGACATGATGGACAGCAGAAGAATGCCTTTCTTTGGGGTGGTGATGGTATCCTAAGACTTTTAGCACATCCACATAGAGCTGCTTTGGAGAAAGCATGCGTTCTGTGGGAACGGTTTCAGTGACTGAAAAGGATACTGTCTCATCTTGGTTAAATAAATATTTATAGCAGTCATAGTAGTTTGAGGCTGAAGTGGGTTACTAGTCTGTGTTGCTCCATGTGATGGGATTTTTTTTTTTTTGTCAAGTTTGAGAAATGTCTTGAACATAGTGGCTGTCAGCGTGCTGTGATCTTCCTTGATAGCAGCTCTCTGAGGTTAGAAGTAGCATGGCAGCATATACTAATTGAGCGTGGTGAAGATTTTCTCTGAGCATACTGGCTCATTTGGAAAGGCCAGAAATGGACAAATGGATCATGGCAGATCTAGTGAACAACGGGTTGGTCAGTCTCAGCATAACATGAGGGAGCCACAGCACACAGTTGGGAGAACTTGTTATCAAGTAGTTGGAGGCTGAGCCAGCACTGATGAGCATCCTGGGGAGGGGTCTTGAGAGAAAGTCGTGCTTAAATAGGGTGTTCACCTGTCCCAGTTTAGCCAGGACAGTCCTGGATTTCAGAGGCTGGTCCCAGCCAGTTGTTGAGAATTATAAGGGGTATTCCAGAAATGCAGGGGCATAGAGCTCAGTCTAGCCAGGAGCCAGAGCAGTGCACCTGGGTGGAGACAGGGGAAGGGTAGCGTCCTGAAGGTCCCGGGTGTCCCAGGTTTCTTTGTGGTCAGCTTATGTTTAAGAGACTCAATTTCTGTAGGCAGTGGAGGGCAATTGGTCTGCCTCATCTTTCAACATTCTTAGTAAAAGGAGATTAAGATGTGATGTGATCAATTTTTACAGGATGCTTGCATGGAAAATGCAAGGGAAGGGGAAAAGCCTTTTATGTAACCAGGATTTTTCTGTCAGATGAAAATGCATTTCGGTCCCACCGGACAACTTGAGTGCAAACACTGAATCTCCAAGTTCCTCCTGCAGAACCTGAATTCTTTCAAAGTAAGTTGTTACAGGTAACATTGCCATGCCAACCACCATTGACCCAACCAAATCCTGATCCCAGCCTTTTATGACGACTCCCTGCTTATGATAGTGTTAACCCAATTCCAGCAAGTAGCTCCTATAACACATTCAAACCAGGCAGTTAGGATTCCTAACCTCCTTTGTCCAGGCAGATTTCAGCCAACAGGAAACTTGTCCTACACAGCATCCAATAGGGGAACAGAAGCCAACCACCAATCTTGTGCCTTTTCTTCTCACCAAGAACTTCACTTCTCTTATTTAATTATGGCACAAGCTGGTTGCCAAGTTCTCCACTTGTAGCAATGAAACACCCCTTGGCCAGTGCAAAAGAAAAATATTGTTATCTGGGAAGCTTCCAGAAATCGAGCAATGATGCAGATATTGTAGTATTCCATTACCACCAGCAACAGCATACCTCTTTCATGTATACATTGAGGATCTTTATTTTGGGCCGTATTTAAGCAGAAGTTGCTGCTGTTGTACCAAAAGACACTAAACTGCTTAAGAAGGAATTTTAAATGGGCAGAGAAAAAAAAGCCAAGAACTCCTTAGATTGTCTCAATTTTTGCCCTTTGTGATTACTTCAGAATCCCACTACCATATCTCCAGGAAATTGTGAAGCATCCTTAATATTCTTTTGTTAGTTACTGAAAGTTACATTGGCTAGTTCTCGACCTCTGATGTTCCCTGCCATTAGACATCCACTAAGTAGAGGACTGTCCAGTCCAGCCATCTGCAACATCTACGGTTGCCCCAGCTAATAGCATTCTGTGCAGGCCAGGATAAGAAGACAGTACCAGGGACATCCTCTTACTTGAGGGCTACTAGGAAAGAGGGCATTCTTTCTCGAGGCTCCAGAAATGCAGGCTGGGAAGAGGCAATGCTAGTATAATATATTGGCTTCAATCATATCTCCACACATGGCAATTTCCAGCAACGTCCACAATATAGATTCATGTTGCTACATAGCAGCCACACTCAGTAGATCTGAATGCTAAGAGAGTTGGAGCATATTAGGTTTCCACACCTTTAATGTGTCTCCAGATTTACCAAGTTTTATGGATTCCTCATCAGATTTCCTTCCAGTTAGTCATTCAGTACACATCCATTAGGTGTCTCTACTTTATTCTCAGTTTCTCCATGTTCACACTGTGTATGGGAATGTTAATGCATACAATGCTTCAATAAATCTCTTTCCTGTTACGCGTTATGTGTTCTTCATTCCCAAAATGTGGGTATATGTTGTTTCAACACCACTGGCACCTACTTATTTATCATTGACCCAGCAAGCTTCTAGTGTCCCCTCATGCTTGAAAGGATCAACCTAGAATGGGGCATCATTGCTCATGTAGCTTTTTGGTCCCGTAGTCTGCAGATGCTTCCTCAATCTGACGAAGGGTGTTTTGTGCCTGAAAGCTTGGTAAGTAGAATTTTTCCAACTGTTTGAGTTGGTCAAATAAAAGATACCTGCTTTAGCTAAAGAACCTTGTCTACATACTTTATAGGGCAGCGGTTCCCAATCTGAGATACAGGTGCCACCAGTGGTATGCAGACAACCTGTCAGTTGTACGCATTAACAGATTTATTATAATTACTTTATATGACAAAATTTGGTGGTGGCACTTAAGGTTGTATTGTTTTAAATTGGTGCGCAATCTGTCAGAGTTTGGGAACCATTGTCATAGAGCATAAAAAAGACAGCCGAATAGATGTACTTCAAACAGCAGGCCACATTCTTACCACGCCTTTCTAAGGCCTTGTGCCACAATACAAATGCTTCAGTGTGTACTATGCAAAGATTATGTAACATATATTCAAAAAGCTTTCTGTCTTTAGGGCTAAAACACCATGAAAAAAGAACCAAGTAGCTCTTCCTCTGTCACTTCAAAGTCTCCTGCTTGCAATAATTAGTGACATGAACTCTTAACAGCATGATTTGGCCTGCTCAATTGACTTGAAGTCCATGAGGACCTAGACCTCATGCTATTAGATCTAGTTCCTGAAATCCATATCTATTTTTAACACTAACCATAATGAATGGCTTGTGGAAAACAGCCCTGGCTTGCAGTGCATGAGAGGGCCACTGTGCCAAGTCAAGATTTTATTGATTGCCTCCTTAATTCATACTTTATTATTGACTCACTCTGATTGCTTGCCTCTGATAGAACAGACTCCAATGCACATCATTACAGCAGGGCTGCTTGCCAGCCCCTGCTTGCTGAGAAGGCCTTTATACAGTAAAAAAAAATTGACATGGTAACCACACCCAAGCCACCTCTAAGACAGGGGAATTTGGCTCCCCATCTTATTTAGCATTAGCTAGAGCAGTACAGAGTTCTTTATGATTATGTCCACATATGTGACTGCTGAGGACTGAGCCCCATGTTTTTGCAGTGAGGAAGGGGAGGGAAAGATGCAGTTTCTTTGGTGACATTCCATAATCACTAGGGTTTCCCAAACTTTTTGCACCCTATGAACATCTTCAGGAGATGTTCTGTTGGACAGTTCCTGAGGGTAACACCAGCCATTGCAGCAGCAGAGAAGCTTTGAGCCATGTTGTGCCTTTTAGGTTAAACTTCAGTTGGCTTTTCAAAAATTGAGGGACTCCTTTGACAACACTGTAGCTGTGTGCTGGGGAGTTGAGACCTTATTGGTAAAATAATGGCCTTTATGAAATACTGTGACAATGAACAGAAGGTAATGGAAAATCCACAAGCAGCATGGTTTTCTGCTTGTTCCTTATGATCAGGGATCCGGGTTTTCTGTTTTCCCATAGAATAACGGAGTAAAATACGGGTTTCTTATTTTAGCAGAGAAACCCGTGGGTTTTGCAGTGAGCCCTCTGCAGGGTGGCAAAGTTCCAGCCTGCAAGGGTCTGGGAGGGAGCAGGAGGATGGCAGTCAGTAGGGGGGCATCATGTGCATGTATATGTGCATGGCCCCAGGCAGCCTTGACAGCTGCTCCCACAGTTAAGTGTGGGGGTGGGGGCAGTGATTGAGGCCCCCATAGGGAAGTAGGGAGGGTTGGGGCTGCTGCCCAGTCAGGCAGTGTGTGGGCCTTGGGGCCCGGGACCCAGCAGGAAACGGATGGCTCATGGGGAGGGGGACCATGGTTCTGTGCTGCAGCAGGCACTGGGGGTGATGGGCAGGGGACCCGTGCTCCACCAGATCTGTGCACAGGGGAGGGGCAGGGGTGGGCTGCTTACTATGGGCTCAGGCTCCTGCCCTCACAGGGCCTCTACAGCCCAGCATGTGTGACCCAGCACTGCAGGGTAGAGTGTGGTAGTCCAGGAAAACTGCTTGCTGCTGCCCTGGCAATACATCCCCTGCATGCAAGGGGGCAGTGCAGGTGGTGGTGCAGGGTTTCATAGTTGGTAGGGTCGGAAGGAACCTGAGCAGATCATCAAGTCCAACCCCTTGCCATGGCAGGAAAGAGTACTGGGGTCAAATGACCCCATCAGGGTGTTCATCCAGCCTCCTCTTAAAGACCCCCAGGGTACAAGCCAGCACCACTTCTCTTGGAAGTTGGTTCCAGATCCTAGCCACCCTGGGAGTGAAGTAGCACCTCCTGATGTCTAATCTGAATCTACCCTCTGCCAGCTTGTGACTTATTTCTAGTCACTCCTGGTAGTGCTCGGGAACAGGGACTCCCCCAATGCCTGCTGGTCCCCTCTGACTAGTTAGTAACAGGCCTCTAGATCCCCCCTCAGCCTTCTCTTATGGAAGCTGAACAGGTTCAGGTCCTGTAGCCTCCCCTCATAGGGCCTGCTCTGCTGCCCCCTGATCATGTGAGTGGCCCTCCTCTGGACCCTCTCCATGTTGTCCATGTCCCTCCTGAAGTGCGGTGCCCAGAACTGGATGCAGTACTCCAACTGCGGCCTGACTAGTGTTGCATAGAGGGGGAGGATCATCTCCTTGGACCTGCTCGAGATGCATCTGTGGATGCGTGACAAGGTATGATTGGCCTTCCTGACTGCATCCCCCCACTGCCGGCCCATTTCATTTTGGCATCAATAGTGATTCCAAGATCCTTTTCTGCCTCTGCACTGACGAGAAGGGAGTTCCCCAGGCTGTAGGTATGGTGCTGGTTCTTCCTCCCCAGGTGCATCACCTTGCACTTGTCAGTGTTGAATCCCATCCTATTCTCATCCTCCCACCCCTGTAACCTGTCTAGGCCTGATTGCAGCCTATTCCTCCCTTCTAGCGTGCCCACATCCCCCCACATCTTAGTGTCATCAGCAAATTTGAGCAGGATGCTTTTTATCCCCTCATCCAAGTCACTGATGAAGATGTTGAACAGTGCAGGTTGTGGCCCTCACTGCTGCAGTGCGTGCAGGAGATGCATTGCCAGGGCTGTGTGGAGCTCACAGCTGCAAGCAGCTTTCCTGTATGGCCCTGCTCTGCCCTGCAGTGCTGGGCTGCATCCATGGGCTGCAGAGGCCCTGGTGGAGAGCACCAGGGTAGGAGCCCACGCGCACAGTATGCA